GACACGCCCAAGTGGTCATGTCACGCCAGTCAGGGTTATAAAAGGTCCTTATTCAAAGTCTTTGGTCTACGACCTATCACAGGCCAAGTCATGTCATGTTGCAGGGCAATCGGGTCCCTTTGGCTTTACTGGTCAGCAAAGGTGGAGTCGTCTACCTTTGAGCTTCATTTATTCGTACTTCTTGTAGGCCTCAGTGAGGGCGGTGAGCACGGGGGAGAGGAGGTTGAGGGACCTGGAAGAGAAGAAGGAATTAATTTTGGAATACCATTAAAGGCAATATGCAAATGGCTGAAACATGGGAACTGCTCATCAACAACTGATGAATATCGCATTTATATAGCACACTACACCCTCCCAAACAGACCCAAAGTTACCTCTGGGCGTAGCTGGTGTAGGAGGAGTATCCCTGGGTGTTGTCGTAGGCGTAGTTGGGGTAGTCGTAGCTCTCCTTGCCGGCGAAGAGCTTGGCGAGGTCGAAGCCGAGGAGGGGCACGAGGACGAGGGCGAGGATCAGCAGGATGACCCCGACGACCACGGCGGTCTGCAGGGAGGTCGAGTTGAAGGACAAGGTGGCGCCATTATCGTCGAGGGAGAGGAAGCCGAAGCGAGCGGTTTCCTCGAGGCTGTTGTCGTCCTCGGCGCGGGCGACGGCGAACAGGCACAGGAGGGCGACGGCGACGAAGGTCTTCATTTTGGCTGAGGAAGAAGATGGGGGGGGGCGTTAGTCGACACGAAATTATAGACAAAGAAGTCCTAACTGATCAAGTGTTGATGATAGTTGTTAAAATGATGAAAATAATGGTAACATTAATACGATGTCTAATAATAACATTAACAATTAGTACTTGTATAATATTAACGATGATGATAGTAAAAAGACTTGAACAACAAAAGCGATAACAAGCACGCATTTAGCTATCTTCTCTCCATGTCTAAATGAGGCAACAGAAACACGAACGCCTGACCTCAAGCAGGTCAAGCCACGCCTACAATTAGCCACATGCACGCGAATGCACGCACGCACCGCACATAACCGAAGCAAACAATTAAGGCGTCTCGTAACAGCAGTGGAGCGAGTGAAGCGAGTTAGGACCGCCCGTCCAGAGGCCACCTGCGTTACCACACCGATAGGACCGCCTCGCCTCCCCACCGCAACCCCCCCCCCCCCCGCCACCCCCGCCTATGCACGCACTAACCCGGCGAGTTATGGTCTACATTCAAGCAACCCCAGGCTGTTATACCTGCAAACGCCGTTGGAAATTCATTATATCTGCTTGTTACCTTTAGATTTTAATGAGAATGAAGACCCAACAAGATTTTTTAAAACATTTTTTTCTTTTTCATGAATCAAAAAACAAACTTTAAGAAATTTATGATCATGGCAACAAACTATCTGGAACATTCCCGAGGCCAAGCCACGAAAGAGAAAGAAAACCTATAATTTTCTTTCTGATCGTCCGAACAATAATGACACTTTGCACTGAGGTTTTGGGTTTTCTCTCACGGACAAAATTGCCACAGTATCTTTCTAGAATTCAAACCAGTGAATATGACACCATCCTTAGCCCCTACCACAAAGACCCCTATGGCGTCCAGTATGCAAGAAACTATATTCGTAAGCCATACACAATAGTTCTGTGTTACGTCACCGCGTCTGCTGTATTCTAGTTTTATGAATGACTTTCAAAATACAGACGTAACTGTCTTGAATTGGGGAAAGGGGTGTTGTTCTCTTTGGAAGGTACACTTTGAAGTTAGAAGGAAGTGGGAAGAAGAGGAGTTGCGAAGAGGGTAAGCATTGTCTTGTTTACCGTTAGTGAGAAAACCGCAAAACGACGTATTTTCTTGCACTCTGTGGAAACGCTTTGTAACTGATAGAGATGTGCAGACTAAAAAAAGAAAAAGAAAAAATGAAGAAGAAAAAAAAAAAACTATTACCATCTCCTTCGCTTCTCTTTTTTATATATCATCCCCGCGCTCTTAAATTATTGGCCCATTCTTCTCTGTCATTAGTTTCACATTCTAATGCGGAGGAATTGTCTGCAACCGTGTCGTCAGAATCTCACGCGGTACGATCAGCTGACGATTAGTCTTGGCACACATATAGATGTATGTCGCACATTCGAGCTGAAATCGCAAGATCGACTTTCTTTATATATATATATATATATATATATATATATATATATATATATATATATATATATATATATATATATATTATATATATTTATTTTTTTTATTGATATTACTGAATTACTTTACTGCTTGTACTTGTTATCTGTATATTTAGTTCTTGCGAGAAAACACAAACGACTACGCACTTACTATGAATTTTGATTCAGGAACATTCTAATCTAAAAAACGCGAATATTACTTACATAATACGTTAAAAACGACGGACCGCGTTTCTCTCCAGTGTTAATTTACCTCCACACAGACGTCAATACAGCCAACGAGCTACGTGTTTGAACGCCCTCCCTCGCTCGCGCCTCAGACCACACTGATGGATCCCGCACCATCCCGCTTCCATATAGCTTCTGAGCTCGAAACTCCATCCTCCGAAATTATAGTTATTGAACAAATCTCAAAAGCGAATAAGGGAGCCGCCTCGAAGCAAGATCAAGAACGAAAGAATTTGAATAAGGAGTTTTTATATATAAGAGAACAAAATCTACTCGTTTTATTTTCGTAACTGAACAGAAATGCATTGTTTTTACTTATTATTAATTTTGTTAAATGCGAAGTGACCGCGTGCGAACCCTAAATGAAAAAAGAAGAAAAAAATACATCACAAGTATTCACGGCGTATCAAATAAACGTCAGTTATTCATCATGCATCTTGTGTTCGCCGAGTTAATTAGGCGCAATTAAGCTCGCCACCTGACTTCAAACTAAATTATAGCTTTCAGAAATCCGCGGAGAAGAAGAAGTAAAAAATGCTAACGGTATTATATGAGCATGTTATAGATTAACTGTAAATTTCTCTACCTATTTACAACCGGTGTGAAGCCGAATGCAGCAGAGAACTGTAGAAGAAGAGCAGTCAAGTGTCGTAGCTGACGAAGCATTAAGTGTGACCCGGATCTAATGTCACCCAAAAGGTCGAGGAAGAGCGTGTGAATTGAACCATATCGAGATCACTATGATTATTATCAAGATTACGATATTCAGCGCCAATTCCTCCTTATGAATGAGCCTAAATTTCCCACCCGCCGTGATTCTCGCATCATTCAAAATCCTTAAAGAAGCGGAAAACAAAACAAAAACAAAAATAAAAAAAATAATACGAGAAGCGAAATCCAAGTAGATCAAGAGATATCAAACCAACGAAAGTTATATCGCTTAATGACTCCCCCTCAAAAAAAAAGAAAAAAAAAAAAAAAAAAACTTTCGTAATTACACCCCCTTCCCCCATAATAAAAACCATAAACAACAAGAAGAAAGTAAGAACCTACCCCAAGACTGGAGACAATCTTGAAGAAAAGGAAAACCACGTGGACCAGTAACCCACATCAAGGCATTAATATAAAAAAGGAAGGGACAGTGGCTATCATTAAGCCCAGGCAAGTGTGACCGCAAAGCCAAATGACGGCTATAAACCGTTACTTTCAGGGCGAGGAAAGAGAGAGAGAGAGAGAGAGAGAGAGAGAGATCGGAGAGGCACCGGAGGGGAAGTACAGACAGGTGGCGCTCTTATTACCGTGGAAGGGGAGAAGAAGAAGAGAGGAGTGGGAGGATGAGAGGGGGTGGAGAGAAAATGAGAGAGGGGCTGGAAAGAGAAAGAAAAAGAGAGAGGGTGAGAGAGAATGAGAGATGGGTAGAGAGAGATAGAGAGAGAAAAAGAGGGAATGGAGAGAGAGATGGAGAGAGAAAGAGAGAGAGGAGGAGATAGAAAGAAAGGCGAGTGGAGAAGAGAAAGAAAGAGGAGGAGAGAAAGTGAGAGGTAGGGAAGGGGAAAGGGGGGAGGATAGTAGGAAAGAGAGAGTGTAAAGGAGGGGATTAGGGCGATGGGGAAGGAAAATGAATAAAAGGAAAGGACTGAAGAGAGAAATAAAAAAGGGGAGGGAGAGATAGTGGAGAATGAGAGGAACAAGAGGAGAGAAAGGAAGAGAGAAGGAAGGAATAGGAAGCGAGAATGCAAGAGAGAGAGAGAAATAGAGAGAGAAGAAAAGAAGGAAAAGAGAGCGGGAAAGACGATGAAGGAAGAAAGAAAAGATAAAAAATAAATATAATAAGACACTAAAGAGTAATAAACAAGATAAACGCCACGAAAAGAAAAATCTTAAGACTATCTTAAGGAAGGAAATAATAAATATTACATTCCCACGTAATTCTACAAGGTAATTTATGCAAAAAAAGCCAAGGAGTTCGGTAAAATTACGGGCCACACGCAAACCCTATTGATTTTAAGAAGAAATTATGATAATAACCCGAACAACTGTTATCCGCACCCCGTTTGGGATATAAACCCGTCGATTATGAAATTGGAAATGGGTGTATGCGGGTGAGGGGGATTTTCCCCAGTGGGCGAGGAAGTGAGAGCGGAGTGAGAGTGGAAACATCCTTAATGTCCTTACAGTAGATCATATCGGAGGAAGTGCATTAGTGACGGTCTGTGAAGGGGGAGACTTCAACGAGGCGAAAGCAGTGATCCGTGGTGTGTGCTTGTGTGTGTGAGTGCGTGTGTTCGTGTTAGTGTGTGTGTGTGTGTGTGTCCGTGTTAGTGTGTGTGTTGTGTGTGTGTGTCGTGTTAGTGTGTGTTCGGTTAGTGTGTGTGTTGTGAGTGTAGTGTGTGTGTGTTTGTGAGTGCGTGTGTGTATGTGCCTGTGTGTGTTACTGTCTGCAAATGGATTTCTTTTATGAATCAAATGATACAGACTAAATTGCTGGACAAAAACTGCTTAGTGATACTGGATTTTTGTGCTTATGAGATGCTGAAGTATTGTTCATAATTATTGAAACCATGACTGCCATCTGTTCCCTTGTTCACGGATCTC